AAATTGTTAGAACTGGTTGATAAGATTTTAACTGTAATCCACCAATTTTCATAAGAAATGAATTTTCGTGTTCCTTAAGAATTTTACATGGTCGTTCTGAATGAGAATCTTTATCTAGATCCAATGGTATACGAAGAGAGGGATGTAAAATTGAATTCGTCTCTTCAATTGTACAAAAGCGAAAGCGAAAATTAGCATCGAAACAATCACCATGAGGTGTTTCGCGAGCGTAAACGTAATGTTCATAACCATTTGAATCAATTTTCATATAAAACAAATGAATGAAAGTATTTCCCAAAAGGAAAATTGGTTGAAATTCATCAACAATAGTAATTTTAATTACTCGAAATCCTTCGATTCCTGGATGTTTAACTGCTGCATAAGCAAATCCAAGAGATTGAGTTGTTCCTGAAATTCCGTAAATCGGAGTTGATTGTGGAACAATATTGACTCCAAATTTTCGTGCAAGATTATGATCAAGCACAGAGCAGTAGCTCCAGTATCAACTAGAACTCTATAAGTATTAATCGGTCGACGAAGTGGAGATTCAATATTAAGGGTACAAAGAGACATATACTCAAGTAAAGGATCACCTTTATTAGTAAGAATGGGGCATTAACATCTTGTCTTATAACGTAACTAAAGGAAGTTGGAATACTTATTCCCTCAGGGGCAGAGATTTGAGGATCACCAATAGGTTGAACAGCAGTATTAACTGTCTTTGCCTCAGAAGCTTTAGCTGGAGCTGAGGAAGTTGATGATTCTTTTCTTCCCATCCCTTTCTTACGTTGTGGACAATTGGGAGCAATATGACCTTTTTCTTGGCAAATATGACAAGTCAAATCCTTGTAACTTGTTCGATACCGTGGATTCGATTTCTGGCCATGTTCATTATTTCCACCATTTTCAACTTTTCGAGTGGAGTTGGAAGTTGATAAAGCTCTAGCTTTTCTTCATGATTCTTTTCTTCTTTGTCTCATGTTCATGAAAATGAAGGAACAAAGTGTTCATTATCTTTGCTCATCATCATTGTGTCCATTACGATAAATCTCTTTAGTAACTTCTTCAGGAAGATGATTCAAAGATCGAACAGAAAAGCTTTGTTATTCATTTTCCTTTCACTTTCTCCATTGTTTCTCTTGCGATATTCATAAAAACTTGAGGTGGAACGGAAAAATCGTATTTAAGATTTCGTAATTTAAAAGCATCATTTGCATTTAAAGCGGGAATATTAAGTTTCTCACGAAGAGCGGTAATGTATTCATGATAATTTCAGAATCAATTCGATTAGCGATATGTAGAAGTTCATGTGCTAAACCTTTCTTGAAACAACGTAATCGTGTCTCATCGTCTTTTCAAGACTCAATTTATTGATAGTCTTGTTAATCCATTCTCTCATCTTCGTTTTCGAAAATTCAGTAACTTTTGGGTCTTTAGTCATAGCTAAAGCGACAGCATCAATTAATGTTTTAAATTGATTAACATCGTTTGAAGGTTGAACTGGGGAATTGGGTCGAGTTGGACCTTGATCAACTAGAGTTGATTGTTCGCCAACATGATCAATTGCTTGAGCAATTTTATGAATAGTACCGATAGGTAAACCAATACTTTTCAATTCATCTTCAGTAGCATTACAGATTACTGACTCATCTCGCCTACGATTAATTACAGTTTGTATTTCTTTCCAAAATGTTTAAGTTTCGAAAAATATTAACCCAATCGGGAACAATAACTTCTTTTACTTCATCGACAGGAAGTGTATCAATTAAATCATTTGTTAATGACTCACCAAGTATCAGATAATTAGTTCTAATTACCTCATAACATCGCTTTTCAACGAAACTATTTGTTGGAATTGTTCGCAATCCAAAATGAGTGAGTAATTCCTTATAACCTTGAATATCCAATTCAGTTATTGTAACCATGTTATTAACTCGAGGATTTACTGACGGTAAATTGGATGATGAATGTCGATGAAAAGGTGAACTTGAGTTCTCAACACTTTGATCTAAAGATGAAGTTGTTTCAATTGGAATTATTGGCAACGAAGAGCGTCTATGACGATTAGTTAAAGATCGAGAAATTGTCAATTCAATTCCAGCACCAGAACGAGTTATTACCATTAGGTAAGAAGAAAATGTTAATCAAAAACTTTTACACTTTCACTGTAAACACACAAAGACAGAATCCTGGTAACCTCGCCAAGTGTGAGGAAAATTTAATAAGAAAACTTATTAAAAGGAAATCTTAAGTAATAAGAATGAGAAACAAAGGTAATTCGTATTGAATTAGATCTAAAGATCACAGGTAAGAAATGATTATTGATTATCCGAAAGGATTAAAGATTAATCTAACGATTAATATTGAAAGTTCCAAATGAATTTACTTAAGTAACGTTCACGACAATCAAAAATTCCAATCTGTCACACACACAGATTATAATTAAGATTCAATTCAGGATTCTGACAATGTGAGTAAGCATGTAATTAAGTTTATTGAAAATTGAAATTGGTTAACTGAAACTTTAGTTGAATGATATAATCAAATTACAATTGTAATTAAAACTGATAAAAACAAAATTAAGAAAATTGAATCTAATTAAACTTAGAGAGTAAAGTACAATTATAATTATTAATTTCACTAGAGTGATCTTAACGTTTTCATTGTAAAACTTTATCTCTGCCGTTAATTCAATCAACATGAATTTTTAAAGACAAAAAGAAAGAGAAGATAATGAAAAAGACAGAGAAGATAAAATTGGTTTTTCGAAGAGAAAAAGAAAGAGGAAGATTTTTGTCTTACTTTTTAACTTCAGTTTACAAAAGGAAATTATTAATTGAGTCAAAGGCACAAGTCTTATCTCATTAGTGATAAGCTCACATTTTGAACCCTTGGGAAAATGGTAACTTTAGTTATACAAAAACAACTTCCATAAATGGTAAACCCATAAGGTTATGTCGCGACGATAGTCTAGTTAACCATTTACTTAGAAAATGACAATAGTCAAAAAACGGTTGAAGTCAACACATTGAACTTGTGATTAAACACAACCCATAATCAACTAATTGTCGTTAAATTGTGATTAAACTAAAGTTAATTAAAGTTAATTAAGAAAATAATTAAATTGTTTCAGTTAATTGTGATTAAGAAAATAAGAAAATAATTGAATCAGATGAGCCAAAAGGCTACCCTTCAATTTACCGTTACTTCGAGTTTCTAATCACGACAGATTAGTTGATCTTCTTAACTTAAATGTTATTCGAAACTTTCGGACAATCGATACATCATAGAAATGTACATTAAACAAAGAGTCGCTATTTTCTTCTGTTTAGGTTGTTCGTTTTTCTGGATTCCGTATGTATACAAATTGACCCAACGATACCTTTTGAAAAAGGTCCACATGAACAGTCGAGTTAATTTCACTGATATTCGAGATGATTTTCCTGATATTTATATGAGTGTTTACATCAACAATCAAAGCTTAGATTTACCGTTTATCATTCCTCAGAATGACCCTCTAAATCCTGCTTACATCAATTTCATTACCAACTTGACCATTGGACAGATACGGAATAGCCTTCGAGATGTAGTGAAATCTTATTCCATGTTCATCCGAACTCCTAATTTGTGTATTGGTGAAATCTCTCACGAATGTCCAGTCACATATTACACCAATGGATTTGAGATATTTGTTAGAATCTCATGCAATCAGATTCCTCACTATGGACGATCATTCTTTAAAATCTCTCATAACTTATCGACCTATTCGTTATTACTAACGGAACTTGGATCGATGGACAGTCTGTATGTTTCACATCGTAACGACATCACTTCGATCACTGATGGACAAGAGCATATGCTGGTTAGTGTTGGTAAGCACACGAAACACTTTTATCCTCCACCTGATGGTCCGGCCTGTCAAAATCGATCACAACATTCCCTTCATGATTGTAAGTTCAAGGAATCGATGAGCTTGCTGAATAGATCATTTGAATTGGAAACAATTGTACCTCTTTTCGATAAAAGTTTTGATAATTATCGATTTATCAAGCTTGACGGTTCAACGAAAAATCAATCAGTTACTCTGACTGTTCAATGCCGCTTACCCCTTGTCGATATGTCAACTATGATACGACAACCACAATCTTGGGAACTCAATTAAACCGATCCGCTCTTTCATTTATACTTGACCGATGTACCGACGTTCAATGTCACATTACTTATGAATACAATTGGCCTGAATATGTATTCGAAGTCATTGAAATCGTCTCGATTTGGCTTGGATTCTCAGTTCTATCAGTTCTCACCCTGATGGCTGAAACCTTTTTCATGATAATTTCTTACGCTAAATCATCCGCAGTCTCAAAATGCAAAAAAATATTTCCTTACATTTGATGATCTCACCATGATTCAATTGATAAATACAATCTATTAACTCATAGTCACTCTTAATCTTTAAACAACAATTTATCTCAATAATTAATCTTATCATTTAACTGGTTTGTTATTATTAATAATAAATTGAAGGACAGAGATCAAATAAATAGACTAAGTTAACAACAATTTCGTTTGTTGTGATATTTGCAAATACTAAATTCGTAGTCAATTGTTTAGGTTTGACAAATTAACAATCCATCAAGCTCATATTCACTCAATATTATTGATTAATTATCACTTTAATGGAATTAATAAAATGCAAATAAAGATTGTCTTGAATTGACGAAAGAAAAGACTAAATAAATATTCTATTGAAGCAAATGATGTAAAGACTGGACGATGAGCACTAACGTGACTCTACTCGAATAGTTTGTCAGATGATAACCGAAAGTTACATGTGATAACATGTGACAGAATAGAGAGAGAGAGAGAGAGAGAGAGAGAGAGAGAGAGAGAGAGAGAAAGAGCTGGAAGGAAATGGAAGGGGAAATATGAGAGGCGAAAATTCTGATTCGAGGAGATTATTTTGTTGCCATGAAGAAAACACGATTTTCTACCCAAAAGTGATGCGAGGACTCTCCATCTCTCTCTCTCTCTACCTTTTTCGATTTTGTTCTTATAATATTTTCTCATTTATTGAATATTGTTTTCGATTGTGCGTCTTCTTTGCTCGAAGCTACTTTTTAATTTTCTCTGTCATTTCTCATCTTTTGTTATCAATCAAGCGCTTCTTTTCGTTCGAACTTGCTTTTCTCAAATGAAAGGTGATCATCGTGCTCCAAGTACTTTTCCGGTTCAATGTTCTACTCTCCAGATCAACGGTTATGCTATGATTAAAAAACGACCATGTAAACTCTCGGAAGTGAGTGCATCCGAGACTGACGGAAAGGTGAGGAAATGTTTTCTATTTTAAACTCTTTTCTCGAGGAATTAATCAAACTGGGATACTCTAATCATGCGTGTTTATTGTGATCATTAACTTTTCTTTTTCCTATTCTCAGGTTCATCTTGTCGGAACGGATATTTTCACGAACAAAAAGTATGAAGATTCCCTTCAACCCTCTGATAACATTGAAGTTCCAATGGTTAAACTTAACGATTATCAACTGCTTGATATCGAGGATAACTTGTGTTCGATGATAAGTCAGATGAGAAGTGTGAAAAGCAATTTACGATTACCCGAAGGGGAACTTGGTACCAAAATCGCAACGGAGTTCGAAAAATCTAAAAAAATCATTGTCACTGTTATAAGCGCTGCTGGTGAAGAAGCGATTAGTGATTTCAAGATAATCGACGGTTAATTAGAACTTTTATAAAATGATCGAATAGTTTTCCGAAGACAACCTCTACTTTAGATGCTTGGAACGGTCGTTGTGCGATTCAATGTCTCATAACTTATGAATACAATTGGCCTGAATATGTTTTCGAAATAATATATCGAAATTGTTTCGATTCGATTTAGATTCTTGGTTCTATCTATTCTTACCCTGATGGCAGAAACTTTTTTCATGACAATTTCTTACGCTGAATCATTCACAGTCTCAAAACACAGAAAAAATATCTCCTCATTATACATTTTCTTTGATTAAACTGATAAAAATAAATTACTTATCTTTACTTTAATCAATTGTTTATCTAAATAATCAATGAAATCATTTGCTTGGTATCTTATTAATAAATTGAAGGACGACGATCAATCAAAATCAACAGAAAAGTAAACAACAAATTCATTGACAATACACATAACGATATGAACATAATCTCAACAATAATAAAATACATTTCATTTAAATAGATTAATCTATCTAATTAAAAATTTCTCGTTTCATCGCATTTTCCTATTCTCATTCTTCTGTTTCCGCTTCCTTTTTCTCTAACTCTTGACTTCGAAACACTACTGTAGTTATTGTTAATATTTTCAATAGAAGCTCTGATGATCTCACTATGATGCAATTGATTCACTTCTTTAACCTTCAGGAAACAATTTATCTAATTATTTGATCACTTACATTGAACAAGAGATATCTGATTAAGGCAGGAAAAGAAAAGGATGAAAGTGTCGTTATTTTTACCTGGAAAAATTTACTCTCTCTCTCTCTCTCTCTCTCTCTCTCTCTCTGTTGCTCCCTTTTACTCTCATTCTTTAAATGTATCAATAAATTGAAAGTTTTTTCGTTTTCAATTCTACTCTGTTAAGAATAAGTGATTGATTGCTTTGTTTTATACGAAATGGATAATCAACAAGAGAACCCTGATGATAGTTCGTCAAAATACATGTATCCGATTCAATGTTCTGCTCTTAAACAGTCCGATGTTGCGGTAATTAATGATCGACCATGTAAAGTCATGGAAATAAGTACCGAAACTGTGAAAAACGGAAAGGAAAAGGTGAGAATAATTTTTTAAGTTTAATTCAATTGTTCAATTAATCGATTTTTTTCCTCTCTTTTCATCTAATCAAAAATATCTTTTATTACAAATCAGTAACAAATATTAGTATTGACACAATTATTTATATTTTGACGCTTTTTTTAATTCTCAGTTCCATATTAAAGGACAGGATATTTTCAATGGCAATAATCATGATATTTTCTGCCCTCTCAATAGCATGATTAATATTGCTGTAGTTTCAGAAAAAAATTACGCAGTAATTGATATTCTAGATAATGGTTGGTGTTCGCTTATGGGTGAAAAGGGAGAAGTTCGAGATGATTTACGATTGCCTGAGGGTGAACTTGGTACCAATTTGTGGAAGTCTTTTGAAGAAGGTGAGAATATTTCAGTTACTGTTTTATCCGCTTTGAACATACACGAAATCATTCGTTGTGCACAAGATGCCGTAGACGGTACTCCTAGTCGAAAGATTGTTACAGATTAATTGTCGTTAATGGCAAAAGAAAAAAAAATACAAACGTTTAAATTGGCAAACTACAGTTCGAAGTGCAATGCGTTTCCATTACATGAAATATGTTCAAAATGAATTCTATTAATAAATAATCGGGCTGTAAAGCTCATTGCGAGAATTACAAATAAACAATATTCATTATTTACCCAATACTTTGGGTCAAATCACTTCACTGTTTTCACTTTCGGTTTCAATTGATTCGACTTATTTGACAGGTTAGGTGACAATCAATTGGTTATAGCTTCTTTGATTAAGATTCAGTAACTTAACCAAAGATCTCATCTCACGTGTTGATCATATTGTTCAATCGAAACCATTTTTCACGATCATGAAAAATTGTATCTCTGTTAACATACATGATGGAAGTTCAATCTTAATAAGATCGTCAAAGTCCCGAATATCAGTATAATGATTTACCGAAAGTTTCCGCATCCATTTGGTAGAAATGTGATTACCTGCATGGTGACAGTAACGACTTTATTGTTGACATCAAAAGATACGTTCTATTTGTTTTATTTCTTTTCTTTCACATGTGAAATAATTGAAAGGGTAATGCAATAATAGTGAAGGAGACAGAGAAGGTGATCAAAATTGATACTCAAAGATTTGGAAAAGAATTTGAGTTTTGAAAAGAACACCAATTTTCAATCGAACATTTTTCACTCACGTGCCTGTCCTGATTTCTTTGTCTGGCCGAGGTGCTTAATTAATGAAGCTCATTAGTAAATGAGAGAGTAAAAGACATAGAAGGATGAAAGTTAATACCACTGAGTCTCAAGATTAGATTCTCTTAGGTTGATATGATCAAAGTGCTTAATCAATCAGTTCTGATTGTGAAAGTGTTTCTAAGGTCATAAATGAGGTCTGATAGTATTAATACTTACAATTAGATTGTTGTAATGGGAATATTGATTTAAATTGAGTTTGTTTTACCGTTTAGCCTTCAATTTAACACAAATAATCATCACCATTAGGGGGTTTTTAACGATACAGTTTCAATTAGTCAGAATCAATGAGTTCTGATGAAAAAGACGCAAAGTACATAGTAGTGTATTCAAATTAAATAAAAGTTCAGTCTTCGAACGCACAATAACGGAATCAATCGTATTGCTTTAATGAATTACAAGTTAATATATTGATAGATTTTCTTATCCAAAGAATTTCTATATAGTGTTTCGAATTTGTGAAAAGTTCTAGTTGGATGATGGTAAATGAAAACTAATCGAACATGCTAATAGTTACAAATGTCAAGATCGAAATGAAAAACAAACTTTTAGCTGGGGAAATTAATTCAGTCGATAATTAATAAGATAAATTCACGATTACACAATTGCAAAACTGTTGACCATTGTCCATAATTGAATAGTAGCCATAAGAATGTGCTAATGAACAAGGTGACCAATCACCACGAAGTAATTACCTTATATCATTAAAATTTTCTCGCGTCAATAGTAAATTCATTCATAAAATCAGATCATTGTAATAATTGTCATTTTGTTGTCAATTGAAAGATTACGAGTTTTCTTTTCTCTCTCTCTTTCTCTTTCTCTCTTTGTCATACGTTAATCCATCTAATTAAAAGTTTCTCGTTTCATCTCATTTTCCTATTCTCATTCTTCTGTTTCCGCTTCCTTTTTCTCTAACTCTTGACTTCGAAACACTACTGTAGTTATTGTTAATATTTTCAATAGAAGCTCTGATGATCTCACTATGATGCAATTGATTCACTTCTTTAATCTTCAGGAAACAATTTATCTAATTATTTGATCACTTACATTGAACAAGAGATATCTGATTAAGGCAGGAAAAGAAAAGGATGAAAGTGTCGTTATTTTTACCTGGAAAAATTTACCTCTCTCTCTCCCTCTGTTGCTCCCTTTTACTCTCATTCTTCAAATGTATCAATAAATTGAAAGTTTTTTCGTTTTCAATTCTACTCTGTTATGAATAAGTGATTGAACTGCTTTGTTTTATACGAAATGGATTTTGAACAAGATGATAGTTCATTTACGACTCGTGAGTTAACATATCCGATTGGATGTTCTGCTGTTAAACAGTCCGATATTGTGATTATTGATGGTCGACCATGTAAAGTCATGGAAATAAGTACCGAAACTGGGGAAGACGGAGAGGAAAAGGTGAGAATAATTTTTCAAATTTAATTCAGTTGTCAAATTAATCGATTTTTTTCTTCTCTTTTCACCTAATCAAAAATATCTTTTATTACGAATCAGTAAAAAATATTAATATTAACACAATTATTCATATTAATACTTTGACTCTTTTTTAATTCTCAGATTCATATTAAAGGAGAGGATATTTTCAATGGCGATAATCATGATGATTTCTGCTCTCTAACTGAAATGATTACTATTGCTGTAGTTTCAGACAAAGAGTACGAACTAGTTAGCATTGAAGAAGGTTATTGTGTGTTAATGGATGACAAGGAGAAACTCAGTGGATATACGATTGCCTGCGGGTGAACTTGGTACCAATTTGCAAAAGTTTTGGACGAACTTAAAACAATTTCAGTTACTGTTTTATCCGCTTTGGGCGAAGAAGAAATCGTTCGTTGTAAAACATACAGTTGAAACTTATAATCAAAATGATATGATTAATTTTCGTCAATGGACAGTTCGAAGTGCACTGAGTTTCCATTACATGAAGTATTAATATGTTTTAAATGAATTCTATTGATAAATAATCGGGTTTTAAAGCTCATTGCGAGAATTACAAATAAACAACATTCATTATTTACCCAATACTTTGGCTTAAGTGACAATCAATTGATTGTAACTTCTTTGATTAAGATACAGTAACTTAGACTCAAAGATTTCATCTCACATGTTTATCATATTGTTCAATCGGTTTGGTCCATCGGTAAGCGGACTGATATCGTCAGGATATGAAAAATAAAACTATTCTAAGATAATTGAAAAGGTAATGCAATAATAGTGAGAGAGACAGAGAAGGTGATCAAAATTGATACTCAAAGATTTGGAAGAGAAAACCAATTTTTCAATAGAACATTTTTCACTCACGTGCCTATCCTGATTTCTTTGTCTGGTCGAGGTGCTTAATTAATGAAGCTCATTAGTAAATGAGAGAGTAAAAGACATAGAAGGATGAAAGTTAATACCACTCGAGTCTCAAGATTAGATTCTCTTAGGTTGATATGATCAAAGTGATTAATCAATCAGTTCTGATTGTGAAAGTGTTTCTAAGGTCATAAATGAGGTCTGATAGTATTAATACTTACAATTAGATTGTTGTAATGGGAATATTGATTTAAATTGAGTTTTTTTACCGTTTAGCCTTCAATTTAACACAAATAATCATCACCATTAGGGGGTTTTTAACGATACAATTTCAATTAGTCAGAATCAATGAGTGAATCAATTTCATCAGAAATCTAATAGATTTACATTAATCTCTATTGACAGAAAATTTGAAACTAGTTCATTCTGGACAAACAAATGAGAAGTTGGCATGAGTATTGGTCATAATATTTAATTGGTAATTGTGACTCGATTAATTGTCAAATAACATGATTAACTGATAAACACGTTGCAAGTACATTTGCATTTGATCATTTAAAATTTTGATTGACAAGTAAAAGTTAACTCTAATTACAACCGATAGATGGAATTGGAGCTCGCAAATTTATTGATACAAACTTTGGATTTAATTGTGATCATTAATTAGTACAATCTACATTTGTTTTCTACATCTGCACTACTCTGTTTAATTGATTAACTATTGATCAATAAATTGACTTATTCTCGAACTGTAAGTTCTAAGTGAAAAGACGCAAAGTACATAGTAGTGTATTCAAATTAAATAAAAGTTCAATCTTCGAACGCACAATAACGGAATCAATCGTATTGCTTTAATGAATTAAGTTAATATATTGATAGATTTTCTTAACGATCGAAAGAATTTCTATAGTGTTTCGAATTTGTGAAAAGTTCTAGTTGGATGATAGTAAATGAAAACTAATCGAACATGCTAATAGTTACAAATGTCAAGATCGAAATGAAAAAAACTTTTAGCTGGGGAAATTAATTCAATCGATAATTAATAAGTAAAATTCACGATTACACAATTGCAAAACTGTTGACCATTGTCCATAATTGAATAGTAGCCATAAGAATATGCTAATGAACAAGGTGACCAATCACCACGAAGTAATTACCTTATATCATTAAAATTTTCTCGCGTCAATAGTAAATTCATTCATAAAATCAGATCATTGTAATAATTGTCATTTTGTTGTCAATTGAAAGATTACGAGTTTTCTTTTCTCTCTCTCTTTCTCTTTCTCTCTTTGTCATACGTTAATCCATCTAATTAAAAGTTTCTCGTTTCATCTCATTTTCCTATTCTCATTCTTCTGTTTCCGCTTCCTTTTTCTCTAACTCTTGACTTCGAAACACTACTGTAGTTATTGTTAATATTTTCAATAGAAGCTCTGATGATCTCACTATGATGCAATTGATTCACTTCTTTAATCTTCAGGAAACAATTTATCTAATTATTTGATCACTTACATTGAACAAGAGATATCTGATTAAGGCAGGAAAAGAAAAGGATGAAAGTGTCGTTATTTTACCTGGAAAATTTACCTCTCTCTCCTCTGTTGCTCCCTTTACTCTCATTCTTCAAATGTATCAATAAATTGAAAGTTTTTTCGTTTTCAATTCTACTCTGTTATGAATAAGTGATTGAACTGCTTTGTTTTATACGAAATGGATTTTGAACAAGATGATAGTTCATTTACGACTCGTGAGTTAACATATCCGATTGGATGTTCTGCTGTTAAACAGTCCGATATTGTGATTATTGATGGTCGACCATGTAAAGTCATGGAAATAAGTACCGAAACTGGGGAAGACGGAGAGGAAAAGGTGAGAATAATTTTTCAAATTTAATTCAGTTGTCAAATTAATCGATTTTTTTCTTCTCTTTTCACCTAATCAAAAATATCTTTTATTACGAATCAGTAAAAAATATTAATATTAACACAATTATTCATATTAATACTTTGACTCTTTTTTAATTCTCAGATTCATATTAAAGGAGAGGATATTTTCAATGGCGATAATCATGATGATTTCTGCTCTCTAACTGAAATGATTACTATTGCTGTAGTTTCAGACAAAGAGTACGAACTAGTTAGCATTGAAGAAGGTTATTGTGTGTTAATGGATGACAAGGGAGAAACTCGAGTGGATATACGATTGCCTGCGGGTGAACTTGGTACCAATTTGCAAAAGTTTTTGGACGAACTTAAAACAATTTCAGTTACTGTTTTATCCGCTTTGGGCGAAGAAGAAATCGTTCGTTGTAAAACATACAGTTGAAACTTATAATCAAAATGATATGATTAATTTTCGTCAATGGACAGTTCGAAGTGCACTGAGTTTCCATTACATGAAGTATTAATATGTTTTAAATGAATTCTATTGATAAATAATCGGGTTTTAAAGCTCATTGCGAGAATTACAAATAAACAACATTCATTATTTACCCAATACTTTGGCTTAAGTGACAATCAATTGATTGTAACTTCTTTGATTAAGATACAGTAACTTAGACTCAAAGATTTCATCTCACATGTTTATCATATTGTTCAATCGGTTTGGTCCATCGGTAAGCGGACTGATATCGTCAGGATATGAAAATAAAACTATTCTAAGATAATTGAAAAGGTAATGCAATAATAGTGAGAGAGACAGAAGGTGATCAAAATTGATACTCAAAGATTTGGAAGAGAAACCAATTTTTCAATAGAACATTTTCACTCACGTGCCTATCCTGATTTCTTTGTCTGGTCGAGGTGCTTAATTAATGAAGCTCATTAGTAAATGAGAGAGTAAAAGACATAGAAGGATGAAAGTTAATACCACTCGAGTCTCAAGATTAGATTCTCTTAGGTTGATATGATCAAAGTGATTAATCAATCAGTTCTGATTGTGAAAGTGTTTCTAAGGTCATAAATGAGGTCTGATAGTATTAATACTTACAATTAGATTGTTGTAATGGGAATATTGATTTAAATTGAGTTTTTTTACCGTTTAGCCTTCAATTTAACACAAATAATCATCACCATTAGGGGGTTTTTAACGATACAATTTCAATTAGTCAGAATCAATGAGTGAATCAATTTCATCAGAAATCTAATAGATTTACATTAATCTCTATTGACAGAAAATTTGAAACTAGTTCATTCTGGACAAACAAATGAGAAGTTGGCATGAGTATTGGTCATAATATTTAATTGGTAATTGTGACTCGATTAATTGTCAAATAACATGATTAACTGATAAACACGTTGCAAGTACATTTGCATTTGATCATTTAAAATTTTGATTGACAAGTAAAAGTTAACTCTAATTACAACCGATAGATGGAATTGGAGCTCGCAAATTTATTGATACAAACTTTGGATTTAATTGTGATCATTAATTAGTACAATCTACATTTGTTTTCTACATCTGCACTACTCTGTTTAATTGATTAACTATTGATCAATAAATTGGACTTATTCTCGAACTGTAAGTTCTAAGTGAAAAAGACGCAAAGTACATAGTAGTGTATTCAAATTAAATAAAAGTTCAGTCTTCGAACGCACAATAACGGAATCAATCGTATTGCTTTAATGAATTACAAGTTAATATATTGATAGATTTTCTTAACGATCGAAAGAATTTCTATAGTGTTTCGAATTTGTGAAAAGTTCTAGTTGGATGATAGTAAATGAAAACTAATCGAACATGCTAATAGTTACAAATGTCAAGATCGAAATGAAAAAAAACTTTTAGCTGGGGAAATTAATTCAATCGATAATTAATAAGTAAAATTCACGATTACACAATTGCAAAACTGTTGACCATTGTCCATAATTGAATAGTAGCCATAAGAATATGCTAATGAACAAGGTGACCAATCACCACGAAGTAATTACCTTATATCATTAAAATTTTCTTCTGATCTAATATTCTAATATATTGATTTTCTAATTAAAAGTTAATTTAACTCTCATAAAAAAGAAAATCGCATCAATAGTAAATTCATTCATAAAATCAGATCATTTAATCCATTGATGAATTTTTCTCTCTCTCTCATCTATAAACATCTTCCTCTCTCTCTTTCTCTTTCTCTCCCAGTTAACAGTTGCTCTTTATTGATGTAACTCCGCCATCTTTGTCCATTGGCCATTCACAAGTAAATCTAAATACAATTTCCAGTACAATTTGTTTTCTACTTCGCCCAACAATCAACTAATTGTTCATTTTAATGGGAATAAACTTTCTAATTAAATACTTCCGTCTACAAATGGAATCACTAGAATAGAAAAAAAGGTAAATTCGATTTTCTTTTTTTTCTGGTTTTTCTTCATCTTCTCTGATTCTCTCTTCATCTTTACTTCTCATGCTAATGTTTACCATTTACGATCATTTACAGTTACTTTTTCTTCTTCTGGTTAATTAATTGTTCTACCGTTTTAATTGTTTTCGTTTTCTCGATTTCCCTGTTAATTTGTGTTCTTCAAGTGATAATCAATACTCTTTAGTGATTTACTTTGTTATACTATTTGAGATTTGGGAACAACAATATCAATAGAAATTTGGACCAATTGTTTTGTGTCTCTTTCCTTTGTGCTTACAGGGCGTAGACCTTTGGGTTAATCTTGTTGGTTAATCTTAATTGTGATCAGTTTGATTTGGTCAATTTGATAATTTCGATGGTTTGTTTACAGTTCCAATTTCCTCTGTTGCTTTTGCAGTTTTTTCCTCTCTCACTTGGCCATATGATTTACTGTTATTGTCATTTTGTTGTCAATTGAAAGATTACGAGTTTTCTTTTCTCTCTCTCTCTCTCTCTCTTTCTTTCTCTTTCTCTCTTTGTCAGAGGAGAAAAACTTTCCACCGGGGGCAAGCATATTGTTCCACTCTTGATGCGCACAGAAGACTTTCCATAGAACAATTGATAAACTGATATTCTCTTGTGATATTAATCTGACCTCCGAGCCGATTAATTTCATCTCTTCTTCCCTCTTTCTCTGTGTTTGTGTCTATTTGTCTCAATTGTTGCTCTTTCGGCTGATTCCCTAAATTCATTTGGTGACATTTTCTGTGAAAAAGAAAAATGAATCTCAATCAACACCAGTTAATTTGTTTATTCTTCATTCATTATCTTATCCAGGTTACCCCATAAATCTTAGGATGGAATGAGAAAACCAAGAGACGATTAATGGTTGTGTTCATGATGCTTTCTTCATCTCTCTCACTCTCTGTGTAGTAAATTAAGTTAATTTAGAATCAGAACATTTTGTTTTTCTCGCAACAAAATGTCGACTCAATCATCTTCAAGTAAGAATAGTGGTCTAGATGATTCCCTTTATTATCCATCTCCTTCTTTGGTGACCATGGCGATGAACGATGAACCCATGAAAAGCTTTTGTGCCCCTTATTCTGGTAAAATTTGCGAAAAATATTTAAAAGGTCGTTTTGTTTACTCAAATTACACTACCGATGAAAGCGGATCTCTAATTTATCTGAATGAACAAATCACCACAAGCCTTTGGTCTGAAATGGTTTCGCCGCTGATGGAACCATGTAAAGGTGCGGCTGAGGTATTACTTTGTAATTATGCTTTCCCTTCATGTGATTATGGTGTTTTACCTGTGATACCTAAGCCACTTTGCCGTGAAGATTGTGTGGCCGTTAAGGAGCTTTTCTGTTATAATCAATGGGCACTTATTGAAGATAATAAACAACGTGGAGTTTATTTTAAGGCTCGAGGACATTTTCGATTACCTGATTGTGATCTATTACCAAGCCATGAGAACAAAACTAATCCTGATTGCTCAATTTCCCATCTTACCCAAATTAAACCGGAAGAGGTTACATATGATTGTATTAAGGGTCGAGGTCGATTTTATCAGGGTAATGTGGATAGGACCAAAACGGGTATTCCATGTCAACGGTGGGACTCACAGGAACCTCATAATCACAATCGACCTCCGCCCATTTTTCCCGAGATTTTGAACTCGGAAAATCATTGTCGCAACGCCGGCGGGGAAGAACCTCAACCCTGGTGTTACACCATCGATCCAAGGGTACGGTGGGAACATTGTAACATACCTGTTTGCAGTAAGTTGACTAATTGTAATCGCTTTAATTGTTCAGTTGTAAATCAATTAACAGTTAACACCATTGATTCTCAAGAGAAAAATTCATTTCGCTTGACAATTAACTCAAATTTACACCAATTAACATGTCAGTCTGTGATGTTTGTTGCATTGTGTTTGCAACTGAACAAACAATTAGTAATAACAATCAATTTAAATTAATCCAGTTGATTGAAAGCTAAGCACAGACTATTAGTTTATGGGGAATTTTGTAAATTTGGGTAATTGTTGCAATTAGAAGTGAATTGTCTTGTTAATTTCGTTTTTTCCTCCTTAATTCTTCTCGAGATTATCAAACTAATTGCTTGTTAATTTTTTCTTCTTCTTTTTTAATACAGAAAATACGACTAATTTTCAATTGATCAATTCCAATCCATATTCGAACACTTCTTTCCAAAATTTTGCCAATTCAACATTTCTATTATTAGTTAGCTCTGCCGCCTTAATTGCACTCATTTTGTTAATGGTAATTGCTGCTATTTGCTACCGAATAGTTAAATATCGTCGTCGTGGATACAATTCAAATCTAACCGATAATGTAGAGATCGATTTATACAAATTACCGTCAAATTTTGCTTACCATTGTACGACAGTTAAGTTAAACCCGAAATTAGAAGCTCTTGAATATCCAAGAAATGATATAATCTACATAAAAGATATTGGCCAAGGAGCTTTCGGTCGAGTCTTCCAAGTGAGTTTTATTCCCCTCAGGTCATTTTGAACGTGGAAAATCATTGGATTAACTTTTGTTCTTTTCTTTTCGTTCTTAGGCTAAAGTTCCAGGGATAATCAAAGGTGAAGAGTTTACTATGGTCGCTGTGAAGATGTTGAAAGAAGACGCATCGGAAGATGTCCAAAGTGACTTCGAACGTGAAGCCTGTGTAATGGCTGAATTTGATCATCCAAATATCGTCAAACTCTTGGGTGTTTGTGCCATAGGTAAACCAATGTGTCTACTATTCGAGTATCTTGGTAAAGGTGATCTGAACAAATTTCTACGATCACATTCACCATCAAATTATATTATTCGTGGACCTGAAATTGGTTCATATCAAGATCCATTACGTTTATCACCTCTTGATTTGGTAAACATAAGTGCCCAAATTGCTTGTGGAATGGTTTACCTTTCAGATCGTAAATTTGTCCATCGTGATCTGGCCACTCGAAATTGTCTAGTCAATGAGAATATGATTGTTAAAATTGCCGATTTTGGTTTATCACAGAAAATTCACTCAAACAATTATTATAAAGGAAACGATGAAGATGCAATGCCAATCAGATGGATGCCAATCGAATCAATAATGTTCAACAAATTTACCATTGAATCGGATGTTTGGGCTTTCGGAATAGTTTTATGGGAAATTTTCCTTCGCCTTACAACCATATTATGGAATGAACCATGAAGAAGTGGTCACATTTATCATGGATGGAAATATACTCTCACCACCGGAAAACATTCCAACTTCAGTTTATTCACTGATGAAAATCTGTTGGAACAAGAAACCAAATCATCGGCCAACATTTAAAATAATCTACCGGACACTTTGTGCGATCTCAGAAGAGATAATTCGAAACAATAATTTCGATAAATTGACAAAAGCGAATCAAATTTCCCACCAAAAGTTTATTCCACCTCCCATAACATAAGAATCTCATCCAATAAGAATGAACCTTGATGACGATGCACAAGTAACTTCCGTTTCCATGGCGATGAAAACGGAAATCGTTTTCTGGTTTTCTCATCTTTTGCTAAACATTTTGTTCCTTTGTCAGTAGCTTTTCTGCTCTTTACTTTCTTCTTATCTTCCTCTTTTTCTCTTCTTCTTCTTCCTTCTATCTCCATCTCTGTGCCATTCCTCTTTTATTTCTTCTCCCTTTTCGGTGACTCTCTCACTCACTCTCTCTATCGGTGTCTCTCTCTCACTCGTTTTGGGCCTTTTTCACTGTGTCTTTTCTCCATCTTCTCCTTTTTTTTTTAAATCAATTCTTTTTTCATTAAGTGTTTCTATCCGAACTACTTTATATTTCTTTATTTCAAATGGAAGGTGATGACCATGAGTTCGTTGGTGCCTCAGCTGGTGCTTCTGCTACCTATCCGGTTCAATGTTCTTCTCTTCGAAAAAATGGTTTTGTTATGATTAAAGCTCGACCCTGTAAAGTCATGGAGATGAGTACATCCAAGACTGGAAAACACGGACATGCAAAGGTAAAGCACATGTTCTCTATTCTATTCTATTAGTCATTCAATTTTTTCTAGCGTCACCTTTTCCCCGACCATTTGTATAGTGTTTAGATATCTTTGAGTAATTGTGTTGTCTCCATCCGCCTACATACATACGCTGATACATCTTAGTATCTTTGACTATTTTATCTCGAGGAGAAAAATCCATCCTATTGATACGTGTTAATCTTGATTCTAAATGGTTTTTCTCTTTCTCTCTTTCTTTCTATCTCTCTCTCTCTGACTCTTTTTTTTTTCTTCCATTATTTTCACAGGTTCATCTTGTCGGGATCGATATCTTCACTGGTAAGAAGTATGAAGATCTTTGCCCATCCACTCACAATATTGACGTTCCCAATGTTTCACGTAACGATTATACACTACTTGATATTAGTGATGACGGTTTTTGTTCATTAATGACTGAAAAGGGAGACACCGAGATGATTTACGATTGCCTGAGGTGAACTTGGTACCAAGATCAGTGAAGAGTTTGGCAAAGAAGATACAACTGTCATTGTCACTGTTATGTCTGCTGTTAATGAAGAAGCAATCATTGCTTGCAAGAATGCAAACAATTAATTCAATTAATAAATTGTAATCATCCAAAAATAGATTACATGAGTTTGATTTTGATAAACAAAGAAACAAAACAACAAAACACACTCGTTTAAATTGGAAAAACCATTTAAAAGTTTAAACCACAATTAAAGGTCAAATAAATACCTATAATAATACAGAAAATTTTGTCAACTTTATTAGCAAATCTCACACAACAACAACAACAATTACCCTTTGACCTGACTCTCCATTATTGTTGTGTTGAGATATTTTTGAATTTCCATTTGAATTGGTAGACACAAATTAGTTTCATTTTCGATCAATAGATGGCACTGGTTCTCGAAAAACAATCAACACCGAAAAACTTTACATTCTAATTGACAATTTAATCCTCAAGTGATCAACTATTTCTCTGAAGTTTATTGATAATACAAATTTTTCATTCGAAAACACTAGTGGAACTAGATTGAACTATCGAAATTGTGTTTAATCTTTTCGATTCGAAAGTTTTTTTGGTCAATCAGCTGAAATAAATTGATTGGAATTCATTTACCAATACCAAGTACGAACTAGAAGATATTTTACACCTGAATGAGAAAAAGTGGTTCACTCAATTAATGATCAATCGGAGAAATCGATTCGATTAAATCTAAGTGTACTTACGATTGCAAATTCCTAAATTTGCTGACCATTGTCCATTGTTTAGACATGTAACTGTACTCGAACCATTTGTTAGGTAATATCCATAAGAACATGTAACTGAACAAGATGAGCCAATGACTCCCGGTTGACAGTTACCACGAAGTTTACCTTTATTAACATCCTGAACCGCTCTGCATGAGGTCGGTTTCTTGTCACCAGGTTTCGGTCTAGGTGTTGTTAGTATTGGTTTTATCGAGACGGAATTAGTTGAACTTGGCCTTGGTCTTGGGGTCGTTGGTTTAATGCACGAAGGAGGGTCTGAACTCCATTTACCGCTTGCCAAGCAAATAGTTGACGATGAACCATTGATCGTAGCACCAGTTGAACAGCCGAAATAACAAATGGACCCAACGGGTGCTCCTTGGTAGCAAGCACCTTCCATGAAACCATCAGGATTTGAACGCAAGGCTTGGCATTTCAATGATGAACTATTTTTATTAGTGTCAGAACTTTTCTCGCAACTTGGCTCTTTCGAGGACCAAACTGATCCTAAGCAGTAAACTTGAGCCGCGCCGATCAACTTGTAATCGGGATTACACTTGAAATTACAAACCGATCCGACTGTGTTGCTACATTCACCGATAATCAGGCCATTAGTTGGAACTTTAAGATTCGTCCTGCACAAATCTTCACTCGAATCTGCAAAATAAACAAAAAAGATTAAAAAACAGATCAAAATGTTCATCGAATCGACAATAATCTTTGACCAAACCTTGACAAACGAATTCATCGCCGACCCAATTTCCATTATCGGTACACTTCTTTTGCAGAACTTTATCACTTGTTCGACATCGAACTTGACAAACTGCCCCAGGAATAGTTCCACAGGTAAGAAAAAATCCTCCTTCGGGAATCGAAGGTGTCAAACAAGTCGAACCGATAAACGAAATTAAAAGAAAAGTTAATCCAATGTTCAATAAAATCGAAAACATAATTCCAATTCCAAGTCACAAATAGTCAATATTTACAATCAACTTAACAATCGTAATACTTGTTAACTGTTACAAACAATTCAATCTCTACAATTAAGGAATAAAAAAAATCAGACTCAAGTTTCCTAATCATGTTTTCTGATGAACATGAGTCAAAATGAATTCCTGGAAATAATTTAGATACAAATTCGTCTATGTTGACAAATTAGTCTCTTACCTTTGGGGAAAAAAGTTAATTGTTCACAATGTAACTGTGACCAATTAAAACCTTCAATTTGATTGTTAATCTGCAAACAATGTAGTTTATTTAAACCTACGTAAGGTTAACAATGTTTGCAAATGATTGATGATCTTGACGATGGTAATTAATTGTTATGCTTACCTGTTTGATAATTTCATCATAATCACTTTGATGACGATCAAAATTAATCATTCAAACATTCAAATCATTGTAATTTGAATTGAAGTTTTTTTTTGATTTTTCCAAAGAAAAACCTTGAAAATAATTTAATCCCTAGAAAATTAATTTTGTACCAACAATTAAACTAATTGTGATTTCTCAGCATGTATTTTCAGCTTTATAAATCTATTAATATATTTGCAATTAAAAAATAATAATACATTTCTAGTGATAAAATTACAAACAGGGATAATTAGATTAAATATATTCTTGTTTAGTATAAAAAATTACAGTTAATTAAAAAGGTGATTGATTTTTTACACAATTATGGGTTGATTGTTGAATTTAGAAACAAAAATCAAAGTCAAACAGATCAAAAATATTAATTAATTAAAAAAGGATCAAGGATTTGGGTTTGGATTCGGGTTTAGGAGTTGGTTAATCATGTCCAGTGATTAACAATTAGATGAGAAAAGGCAAGTAATTGTTGATTTGATTTGGTTCATTTGATTTTTCCATGTCAATTAGATGAGGTTAACCATTAAAAACGTTAATCTAATACTTGATTCTTGTAATTAACTTTTTGCAATGAGTATGTTTTATATTTATAAAATCTGATTCAATTAGAACCAAATAATTATCTCCTCTCTCGCTCTCTACCTCGATTAATTGATTGATTGATTAGTTGAGGTGTAGATCTATTAATTCCTAGAAACAAATGATTAAGGCAATTAGTTAATTTCATTTGTGTTTCATTTGTCTCTTTTTCTAAGGCAGATCTAAATTAGATTCCGGAAAAGGTAAACATCAGGTAACTTGTTGAGGTGAGAGGTTAAGTCAGGTGAGTGTTAACAATTAGTAGAGACTTAATTGTTAGGATATTAATTATGTTCTACCAATGAGATGATGAGTGTATATAATAATAAAAGTAGATTGATCTGGTTCAATAGATGAGATATGATTATAGTTGATTTAAAAAAATATTGATCACAGTTAATTGATTGTGAAGATTTTAAGATTCCTTTGTTTTTGATTAAAACGTGTCTTGAAGTTGATTCTTGTAATTAACTATTTACACAGTTAATCAATTCCATTCCGCCAAAAGAAAAGGTTTATTGATCAAACTGGAAATCGATTAATCGTTAATTAATGGACGTTAATCAATCATTAGGTCGTTTAAGTTTCTCGTAATCATTTGATGCTTTATGGGAAAAATCTCGAACCACTTCATTGAAAATGTCCTCACTTGCCGGACTGTATTCATCATTCCTCATCTCTTCATTTAATTTAGCTAATCGTAATCTATTAGAAATGAGAAAAAAATAAACAATTAGTAAATAAAAGTTACAATTAAAGAATCAATTTGATCGTAATTTGGCAAAAAATCAATGATAGTCACTGTTTTAGTTTACAGTTAATGCTCAATCCTTGTGATAGTTTTAATTGACAAGATCAACAATCATTCAGGGTGTAATCAGTTAATTGTTATTATGCTGGGATGGCCTTACACACAATGATTAACAAATTCAATTGAGGCGTTAATTGAGTTACAACAACAAAACTTGAATTGATTAAATTGTCAAGTGAATGATGTTGATGATGATGATGATGAATAAATTGAATAAATAAAATTAAACTTGATTGTTAATTGCTACTTACAATGTAACAATATCAGCATTCGCATTATTAACTGCAATGGATAAAGCATCTCGACCTTCCTGATCAATTAACGTTTGATCAGCTCCACGTTTTAATAAAAGACAAACAATACTGAAGATAGAGAGAAAAAATTAAGAATTAGAAACAATCAGACAACTAATTAAATTAATTACTAACCCAGTATCACTTTTCTCGGTTGCAAGGTGAAGAGGAGATCGCCCTAATGAATCTTGACTGTTACATTTGGCTCCATTGAGTAAAAGGTATTCACAACAGGGAACTGAACCAGTTAAGACTAATTGATGAAGAGGTGTCATCCCTTCATCATCATAATTAGACCAATTAACTTGGGCTCCTTTACAAATTGCTTTACACATTAATTGAGCATTTGCATCTTTGGCTGCAGAGTAAAGCATCAGGTTGAAATAGTTTTTGTATTGAAGTGATAAATTGGACGCCATGGACACTGAATTACCATCGATTCCAGCAGCATGAGTTAACTCTTCTTCTGCCTCTTTAATCACAGCATATAATTGATTCAATTCATCATATTCAATGGAAAGACGATTATCAAATGATCCAATATTAGTATTATTTTCACAATTTTCGCTCAAATTATTGGTGAAATCGTTTGATGTAAGAGTTGAGTGTTTATCTTTAGATTCAAGAGATTTAAGAACAAAATCTTTCTTCACATATTTGGCTTTAATCCAAAGTTCACGTTCACTTGGATTAGATGAGGAATTTGGTCTAACGGCAATAGTTTCATCAACTTTTTCCTCATAGAACGAGTTAACCACCGTATTACCCAAGGCTAACATTAACTTAATTTGCTCCGAGTCCCATGCATCTAAAATTAATGATTTAACTTTGGATATATGAACACCAAGAGATCGATGTACACCCGAACACTCAATACACAGGGTGATACCTAAATTAATTGATGCCCATTTGGGATCATTTGATTGACAATCGGCACAAAACTCATTACCGGGAAGACCAGTGATAATTGGATGGACTCGAGGAGGTTTAGGTGGACCACCTCCTGAAGTACTTTGAGATAAATTTCCTGCTGATCGTAATGAATTTGAACTTAAACTGGTATCACTTGAATCAATTGAATCGCTCGTTTCAAAATTATCACCGATACAGTGGCCATTGTAAGCAGCGTCAATTCCAGCCTGAAGGGAGGCAACCCAATGTCTACATGCTTCCTCTGAATCAGCTTGTAAAATATGATATCTGAAAGAAACAGTAAAGTGAAAAAAAAATATTAGAACGAGATGCAAAATATGATATGTTCAAATTCATCAGCCAACTTATTAAGAAATTTGCATATTCATAATGTAAATTACAAGGTAACTGGAAAATCTTTCAAATGCTGACAAAGTTAAAAATGTAATTAAAATGAAAGTTGATCTTGACAATTCTCTAACCTTGTAGGTGAAACTATTTCGAAGCAAAAACGTCGTTCACTGTCGATTACTGGCTTAACATTACATAGACGAAGATCTTCCTCCATTGTTGAATATTCTTTCTCACTTTTCTTCTTATATTTTAACTTATTGTCTTCGATAATGAACCATCGACGATTCCATGTTTTGAAAGCATTGGTTGTCCTCTTAAAAAGGTAACCCTGAGATCTAATTAGTGAATCTCCATCAGAAAGAGTTGCAGTTAAATCCATTTTGTTTACAATCGAATGATTTTGTTCCAATTCTCTTTGTAGTGTGTGAGTTTCTTCCTTCATCTTTTCAATCTAAAAGCCAAAAAAAAGAGGAGAAAGAATAAAGTTTCGATTGGAAAGATTTAGAGAGCGAAATGAAAATTCGATAATTCTAATTATAAATGGAATCTATTCAATCAATTGTGACAGATTAAGAATCTTAATTTTGTTCATCAAGGGTAAAAGAATCGATCTAATTACACAATCATGTTGGAAATGAGAACAGAATATAATTCTTACCGAAGTGACAACGCTTTTGACATCGAAATCTTTGAGTAGGTCAGCACCTTGTTGAAAATATGTTCCACAGGCTTGAACCAATAGAATTAACTAACGATAGAGAGAAAGAAGAAAAAAAATAGATGACAAATGATTATAATGATAATTTACGAAAAAAAAAGATGGGAAAAGATGTAAATAAGTTCTGGGAGATGAGGTCACGTAAATTCCCAGCACGTTTTCCCCATTTAAAATAATTACTAACCGAATCGAGGACTTCATAACGTTTCTGTGATTGAAGGCAGCTTATTTGTCGTATATAATCAAGTGCAGTGTGCTGAAAGCAACCACGAGTTGCCGTTAAAAGGTTACGAACATCTTCACATTCGGCTGGTTTACTTTTGGGTGTTTGCGAGTTTTTGATCAAAGCTTCATCATAAGATTCGGAGATTTTATCAAAATGACGTTTAGTCTTTTTACATTCGTTTATCTTTCTATCAACAAATTCGGATAGTTTTTTAGATACAGCTCGATCCATTTGCTCGACTAGTATACTTTGGTAATGAAGTAATTTTTTCATGGTATCATTGATCTCAGTCAGAGTGTTAAAAACGGGCAAGTCCTCCTTAAAATGTAACGTCAGGTCAAAAATACCATTTATGAAAGCGCTAAGAAACAATTGAGTAGAAAAAAGAAATCATATTAATGAGAATTTGTTGTAGAAAATAAAAAGAGAAAAAAAATAAATCAAAATGTTCAACAACAAAGTAACCGGATGGATATAAGCAAAAAGGGAAATCAGGGAGAGAGATTGTAGAAAGGAAATTAACTGAAACAATCAATGAATGAGCCCCTGATTCTTGATTGTTAACTAAATTAGTCATCGAGTTAGCAACTAAGAGAAATGAAAAGTGTTGAGAAAGTCAAAATTCTGGATGTCTCATCAATCCTGAAGGTGATGGTAATACACAACAATTAAGCAGAAAACTATTGTTGTTAAGGAGAGAGGGAGAGAGAGACACAAATGAACACAGGATGTTGATAATGGTGATGGAAATTATGTTTCCAATTAGATAAAATGATTCTTGGTGATATAATCGTCTGAGTTTATAAGATTCAATGGTCATCCCATGATTGTAATTATCTTGATTGTATTTAGAAAGATATTGTAATTGTTTATCTACCCTTTGGATCGTTTGAATGAATCAGCCGAATCTATCATATCATGACACAACTTGATGACCTAAACAGGGAAAGATGATAGAAAAAGGGAAGATAAAGAAACAGAGGGAAGATTAATTAAAAGATCAACAAATATGGTTTCAATTGGATGAGATAAATTATCATGATACATGAATAAAATCAGGAGATCATGAAAATAAACAAGATGAGAAAATGTGAGAAACAAAAAGACAAGAGAAAAAATCTCACCTTTACAAGCTTATCCTCCAATTTTCGGATATCATCTTCATTTTTGCTTAGCGTTGATCTACAATTAACATGGTAAGACAATTAATATCAAGGTAGATTGTATTGATCTGATTAATTCTTACCTGAAATTAGGTGAATCTTTGAGACATTCATCGAGAGTAACAATGGATTTCATGGTAAATCAGAAATGAGAGATTTGGGTGTTTAGTTGCCTGTTGATGGAGAAATAGAGATGAAAAAAGAAAAGAATATGAGATTAAAGAGAATAGAAAAATAATTAGAAAAGGATAAATGATGGGGAGAAGATTAAATAATCAATTAGACAAACCGAACAATCAATAAATTAACCAAAGAAACAAAATAGAAAATTAAAAACATAAACAAGAGAAATTGTTGAGCAAACAGAAGATGAGAAAAAAATGAATGAGCGACACAGAGAGAGAAAGTGAGATGAATTAAAATGAGAGAATGAAGATAAAGATGGAAGATTCTGATAATTTATAAACAGTTAATCACCAAATAATCAGGAAACGAATGAAATTAATTTCAATGGTGAACATTAAGCCAACAGTCAACACTGAAGAGAGAAAAAAAAATAAACATTAGAATCTATAAAAAGAGAAAGAGAAATTTTTTTTTTTGTAGAGCTTTTCACCGGAGGGTTTAACCTCTGGAAGAAGATGATAGATGTGAAGATGGAAGAGATGATGAGAGAGGGAGAAAAATTTTCAACAAGGTTATCACTTTGAAAATTTAATCCCCCAAATTGAGTTAATTGTTAATCCAAACACTTTGATTGTTGTTAAATTTGACAGCAAATAACAAGAGTTGTCACTTAAATGGTAACTGTTCACATCTAAATGGTTAAGTTAAATTTGTGTTCGTTGATCAGTTTTACTCTTTTTTTTTCTTGACTTGATTGTGATCATTAACAATTAGCTGAGTGTAAATTGTTAATTTAAACCAAATGACAATCAAAAAGAAATAGAATGAAAATTAAGGGAGAAAGAGAGAGAGAGAGAGAGATGATAATGATGATGATCAAGACGAAAAGTAAACTTGATTTAAACCTTGAGAATAGAAAATGAAGTTTTTTTCTTCAACAATTTAAGATTAAATTGTTTTCTTCCACATGGCAACAATTTAATTACATGAATCAATTGATTGATCCCATTGAACTTTCAATAGATATTGTTAATCAAATTGTTGTCTAATTTTAGTTTTACTTTGATAGTTGTAATCAATGTATTTGATTAACTTTCTCATTTCACTTAACCATTTAACTTGTTGTTAACAATTAAGGTAACATTTATCAATCTGCTGGTTACAATTAATTGATTACCTTTGGTTTCCAATGTGATAAACAAAATGATCTAATTGTTACAAGGATAATGTTAAACTGTTGTTGAATTAAATGTTGTCATTGTTTTCACTTTCACCAATCAAACTTGTTTAGTATGACGAGTACCAATTTAAACATGGAAACTAAACTACAACAAGTAATCCGATAAAATTAATCAATCAATCGAAGTTAAGATAAAAACCAAATTAAGACACAATCAAAGAAAAGAAATTAACAAAATTGTAAACAATTAAAAATCTTCAAATGGAAAAATTATTGATAGAAATTCAAATTAAATCGAAGGCGCGGTAATCGAAAAAGTGGTGACATCTATTGGAACTTTTGTTCAACTTGTTCTGCGAAAAATTTATTTTTCTTTTTGGGAAAATCATTTCATCTTTGACAGGATTTCAATTCTGATCGTTAGTTTGTTTGTTGTTTCTCATTTATAATTAATTAAACATTTTAAATGTTTTTAATTAAACACGCGAAAAGTGAGCAAACCATTGGATTAAATTACTGGTTAACCTGAGATTTCCTATTGATCATCTTTACTTCATTTTCTTCATCTTCTTCTCATTTAGAATTTCTTGTTGAGGCAAAAAAAAAAGGTAAGAGAAAAATAAAATTCTTATTCCATTATATGTGATTACTATTCTTCTCTCTTTTGATTGTTTAATCTCTCAACTGTATCATCATTAACTGGTCAGATTATAATTGGTCCATTTTCTTCCACTTCCTTATTTCAATCAAATTGTTTATATAATCGAAATTTTCTTCTCGCCTAATTTTGAATGGACTTTTTTTCCTCATCTTCAGCCATTGTTATTACATAGGTTTGGTTACTATTCTATTGTGTTCGTATATACGGTTACATCTATTTTTTGCTCTTCTCTTTTTTTTTCAGATGGATTAGGTTTGTTTTTTTTCTTCTTTTTTGGTTTTGTCAAGATTTAGGTGAACAGATTATGATTCTCTTCTGGTCTCAATTGACTCCCTTATTTACATTGATTTTTGTCTTTCGATTGTGTTGAGCAAGAAACAACATTTCCCCCAATCTTAAGATGAATGGATAATATTTTTCTTTTATTAATACACTAATTTAACTTTCTATTTTTCTCTTCTTCTCATTTCAATTTCTAGTTAACTGCAGAACAATTAATAATTGATACATTTGCCAGTAAATTGAGACAAAGGAATAAATTAAATTTTCATCACTTAATCAACCATATACACCTACTTGTCCATGTCAAGAATGATTCTAGACTCATCCTAGAAGTTGAATAATCACCAATGGTGCCAGTTATTATGTTAATGTTGTTATGCCATTACAATTATCATCTTCTGCTCTCTGGCTAATATATTTTTTTGGTATTCTACCAATACAACTACCACAACCACTACCATTACCATCATCACCATCAACAGTACTACTAAACCACCCAAAGAAAAAGATTTGTGATCCATCAACATGCAAATGGAAAAGGTAAATGATACTCGTGATTTAGAGCAAGTGGGAGCTCGTCTCATCGAGAATGGAGCTTATGCTCAGGATAAGATCGCCTCCATGACCGCTCAATTGAGTAGATTAGCCTCTGATTTTACCACCAGTTGGGAAGAGCGAACCACCATACTCAATTTAACTGCTACCTTTTATCAACACGCTGAACATTATTTTAGAAATGGTGAAACTTGGTCTCGACAATGTGAAGGTCCTTGTTTTATACCAAATGAACTTAGGGAATTGGAGGAAAAAGTTCATCAATCAAAGAAACTGCTTGATGCAATTAACCGAGCATATAATGATGTGATCACCAGTAGTAATAAACTATGTTATCAACTTAACCATTTCATTAGTTTCTGCTATCAATGTAAATTTAATCCTTCATCATCTTCATCAACAACAACAGCAGCAACGGATAACAATTTTATTTCATCTTCATCTTCATCTTCATCTACATCAACCCCATCACCTCCTTCATCATCCAGTAGACTTAGAAATCCGAAAGCTGATTACAATGAGGCAACTAAACATATTCTCGCAGTAACTCATCGTATCACCTCACATTATCGTCGAATAGAATCTCTTTTAGAGTCTAAACGTCAAAGGTTACACCTTCGTTTCTCTTTGGCACTTTTTAATGATGATGTGCGACAAGTAATGGATTGGATTAGTACTTGTGGTGAGAGTATGTTGACCAAAAATTTTGGTATTGGTAAAAATTTGGAAACAGCTCAAGAATTACAAAAGAATCACCAACAATTGGAAAATTATGCTCAAAATACTTATAATAATGTGGAAAAATTGAGAAGAGCTGCCGTTGAATTTGCTCGAACCGGTGAATGTGATCGTGATGAAATCTATCGAATACGTGAAGAGATGGTTGAACATTCAGAAAGATTTAAACAGCGAATTGAAAGACGTCGACGACATTTAGAACTTGGAATACGATTTTTTGAGAAAGAAAAAGATCTCAACCTTTACTTTGAGGAATTGCAAAATTATTATCGAGCAACAGATAAACCAATCGAAGCACCAAAAACCATCGAAGCCTGTGAAAGTAATTTAGACCAAATTTTAGAGCAACGTGACATTGTGGTGGCCACAGTTTTACCCGCCATCAATGAAGGAGAAACACTTTTACAAGAGTTACGAGTTCTACTCAATTCTCCAGCAAGTGATGGAGATTCAGCTTATGAAGGAAGCTCATCCAATTCATCATCTTCTTCAAATTGTCAGAATTCACCTTCTTCTCTTAAATCATCTATCCAAGCAATTGAAACTTCATTAGAAAATTTTAAACGTATGGCCAATACAATTGAAGAATTGTGGAATAATAGGAAATTTAAGATGGAATTGTGTCTACAATTAAGATTATTCGAAAAGGATGTAGCCAATGTAATTAATGAGATACAAATTTACAAAGAGGAAGTTCGAAGAAAATACTCAGCTGATATTCTTTTCGAGGATCTTCATTGTGCCGAACGTGCTCTCCAAGAACATAATGATCTATTCAGTCGAGTTCAAAGGCTATGTTATGATGCATTTAGTAGAGGAGAAAATCTAATCCAGGTAAATCTTTAATTCACAATCAACTAATTGATTAATTAACTTTGGAAACATTCAACTGTCAACCAGTTTTTCTGATCCACTCAAGTTTAACATTGAGACAACAACAACAACAACATATCAAATTAACGTTCTATTAATTTATTTTTTCTTTTCTTTTTAATTATAAATCTTTTTTTTTTGTTCTTTTTCTATTTGTTCTATCAGGTTTTTGAATCATGTTCCTCTTCAATAATGATTCTTGCCGATTGCGGTTTTGATTTAGTTCCATCAACTCAAAATTCTCGTCGTATCACCGCATTACAAATAACCCAATTACTTTTAGAATTGCTGAGAGATAAAGAGATGGACATTGAAGATGTCGCTGAAACAACTCGAGGTCATCTCGAACAGCGTGTTCACCTTTGCCAATTTGAATCAGAAGCGAAACAAGTACTTAGCTGGATAAAAAACGCTGAATCAATGTTATCAGCCTCTTTCACGATACCTCAGTCACTTACGGAAGCTGAAAATCTCAGAACTGAACATGAACATTTTCAAGTAGCAATTGAGGTAAGAAAAACAAAACAAAAATTATCATTCCATTTACCTGAATCTCTACCAATTATTTAATAATCACAATTAACATCCGCTCAATATAAACACCTCGCCCTGTTCACCTCTTTTTATCATCATCATCATCATGACATTTTTACATCTTCACTCTAAAGCTTGAATTTATATTTATATATATCTGATTACTATTTGTCATGATTCTTACACCACCCCCACCCCACCCACTTCTCACCATCATTCTTGAATTACTTTACCATTTTTCTGAATTCTATCATCTATTTTTGATACTTGCAATATCCCTCATAAACCATGAACATCAAGTATATCAAATTTCAATTCTAATCCCATTGCGATCAGAAAACAAGATTCAATTACAAACCAATCAGAATCAATAAGAAAACATCTCATTATCTGATTTAATTCAGTTTCATTTGTTACTTCAACTTTAACCTGTCACTTGTTAAGAGTTTGTATCCTTATCCATATCAGTAGCAGTTTAATTGTATATATTTGAAATTAAGTGTCTTAATTGCTTTATTATCAAATGAAATCATTTTTCTTTTCCTTAACCGCTAATCAGTTACTATTACAAGTTTAATCTTAATTTTCAACAATCAATGAACAAAAACCGATTTCCAATTAACATTACCAATTTAGGATAAATTTATCTACTGTCATAATCAAGATAAATCATTAATCAATTAAATCATGAGATTAATTGTTGTTGGGTGGTGGTTCTCATCAATTAATTTCTCAGAATCTTTTTCCTTCCTCTGTTTTTGAATGATGATGATGATTAAAAATGATTATGAACAATTTTTTTCATTTCATAATCAACAATAACAATTAACTAAGTGAAAATTTCATATTTTCCATCTAATTGTTGTTCTTGATTATATTATTACTCTCATTGTTATGAGAGAGAGAGAGGTAACAATTTAGGTAGGTCATTCAAATGATCAGATTTTTCATTCATTTTGGAAAACATTTTTACAACAATAATCGTTAGTTTTAAGGTAAACCCTAATCATTACAACTCTTACCTGACAATCATGATTTTATTATCTCTTTTCTGTTCAGTTCTCATTGTATTATGCAAGAAAACCCATACTTCCCACCCTCCTCTTCCTCTCTCTCACTCACTCACTCACTCTCTCCCTCTTTTATCCTCTCTATCATCACCATCTCTCCCACTCATTTGTAACTTGCACGGTTTTCATTTCATTCAGTACATCAACTACTACAACTTAGATATTATATCAACATTAAAAATCATTCACTTGGAATCTTAATTAATTTGATGTTTAGATTGATTAGTTGAAAGATTAATTCAATTGATTAATTGCCAGTTATCATTATGATGATCATGATTTACCCAATCATTTTAATGCAACATTTTGATTCTTAATTTTTTTAACCCATTGATTGTTATTGTTGTAATGATTATATTACTCAATTATTACAAGATATTCAATTTACACCAGACATTAATTATTATCGTCATGATAATTATTATTATCTTAATTTAACCATAACCAAACTATCTTGATTGTAACCTTCCTTTTTTCAATCACAATTGAAAACAAAGCTTCGCATTGAGTGATTAAGAAAAAAAATCAAATTGAGAAGCAGAAACAAAATGAATCTTTCATTGAAAAAATCTTAATCTTTCATTATGTTATCATCAATTGAACTTGTTTTTTATTAATCTGATGACAATTACAATTATATTCATAATAATAATCATTTATATGTTTGTATTATAATTCACTCTTATGAATTGAACTAACTTACTTACTGACTTACCCATCATGAACCATGAAATTGGCCTTTCAACAATCAAGAATCTGTTTTTTTACATGCTTTTCATTATAATAAAAATAATAGTGATGTTGATGATATTTGATGATAACATCAATGAAATTACAATGATAAGTTTGATTGTTGACAAGGATGAAAATAATGTAAATGGTTACCGATTCATGATCTCCTCTTTCAGAACTTTTTTTTCTATCAAATTAAGCTCAATACTTCCTTGTTCATCCATGTCCATCATGTTGATAAATCTCTCTCTTTTTCATCTTAAGTTATCATCTGATCATCAGAAACTTTTGTTCATTCATCAACTAATTGCATATATTACACATCTCAGATGAAGGGTTATCTTCATGGTGATCAGATAACTTTCTCTCTCTCAATCCTAATTCTGTGTCATGATTCTCGTTCATTTCGGATAATGAACATTCAATCCATTTCCTAATCATCTTTCTACTCTTTTTTTGATACTAAATTGAAAAAAAGATCCTGGTAATGAAGATAAAAATGATCAGTAGTCTTGATAATTTGATTAGTTCAGCTTGATGATTATCCATCAACAACTCACTCTTAGGAACCAAACCCTTTTTTCATTAGCTATTAATTATAATTCAACATTTGAAATAAGTTCTGTTAATCCTTAGGAAGAGAGAGCTGAAGTTAACAGAAAAATCATCAGCAGGAAAATCTTTTCACGCTTTCGTGGTTAACCCTTGACCAGATGATCCTTATGATGAGCATGATGAAGATCATGATGATTGATTGAGAGAGAGAGAGAGAAAAATCTTTACAGATACGCAATTCCATCAAATTGAACTCAAGTGATTTGCTTCATCTTCTTTCTAATTCTTACTGATTAACTTTTTGATTGTATCAGTTTTAAGAAGAAAAAAAGATTTATCAAAAAGAGAAGAGAATAAAAAATAATCGGAAACCTTTGGAAAGCATCAACTTTTTTGTCAGTTTACCTAACACACTTTTCTACAATTAAAGTTCTGAAACCGGTTAGAACTTTTTTTGGAAGTTTTTTTTCTTTTTGCTTCTGTTGATTATAATCATTAAGATGATGATGATGTTGTTGATAAACACAAAAGTTGAGAGTCAAAAATCAAGGTTAACTAATTTTTCTCTCTTGCTTACACTCAGGAAGAGAAGCTACTTCTGGTCACCTTCTCATCTTGATTTCTCTCTCTCATCATCATCATTAGCATCTGGAGTTTCCATTTTTCACTCTTTATTTATCTCTGTCTCTGTCTCTCTTTCTCTCTCTATCATCTTCATTCCCTTAGGC